AAAGTGCAATATATCCTGTGAGATCAAGAGCGGCCTCTTTAAGTAAAAGCATTTACCCGAATGGGTGCACTCTAACGATGTGTAGATTTATGCGCAGAATTCAATATAATCACGGACGGGCAAACAATCTTACCCGGCTTCTTTCCCTGTCTAATTGTGAATCACACTGAATAATAAATCAGCTGAGCTGATGACTTGTATAAGGTACTGAGTCCTTTGGAGACACAACGCAGTTTCCTGTCAATTCTGTAACCTTGGGAATGTGCGACTGTGATCTGAAATGTGGGTATCGATGGTATCCTGTGATGGGCCTCGAAATCCCCAGCCTTAAAGGCAGAGGGAAACACCTACCTCAAGAGCTGCCTAAATGTCACCTCCTCCCCGAAGTTTCATCCCCACAAGGAGCCCAGCTAGACAAGTGGACATCGAGTGTTTTCGTTCCTCTCCCCTTTCCTCTGAGACCGTTTCTTTCTAACCTCAGTTGGAAAGGGCCCTGAAAGGCCCAGGCCCTTTAATTTTATGCTAAAGACACTGACCGGCTGCCCTGACTCTCAGCGTAAGGACGGTCTCATTTCCGCGGCACGCACGGGTCTTCAGATTGCTGAGGTCATCTTCCAGCTTCTCGCCGGTCACCGGGAACGTCCCAGCGGTGCGGGAAATTCGCTGACTGTCTACCCGCTGTCAGCCTGGGCGAGGCGGACAGGTGGACAGGAATTCTGAAAGGGAGGCGGCCCGTGGCCGACCCAGAGAGAGACGCGCCCAGGAGACCACCCAGGAAAATCACTCTGACGATGCCAGTTTTTATAGGCCGTCCCTGGGTCTTCACTTACGAGTGCTCTCCCCATTTCCTGGGAATCGGAACCGTTCCTGCTATTTTAAGTGGTAATTGAAAGGACTAAAATTAAGTACATTCCAAATAAATGTCGGAGGCATCGCTCAGTCCTCAGACTCGGGGGTACAATAAATACTGCATTTCTTTATCGTGTTTAATGATTTATATCTGACCCCGAGGCCACACTAAGCTGGACCGACAGGAGCGCCAGCTCGGGCACTGTGAGAGCTGGTCGGTCTGCACTCTCCAGGCACCTGCGGAGATCAGGAGGCTGACACCTCTGCTTGGGAAATGAAGGAAGGGGTCTAATGTCTGGGGTAACATGGTCATCAGGATTCTTTGTGCCTAAGCCCCCCTGGTCTCTTGTCCCGTGGCTTCTGTCTGCTTCTGCATCACTAACGGAAGACAGAAACTATGGCCAAGCCGGATCTCTGATGTTTGACGTCTGGTCTCCGGGGTCTCATCCAGCCTCCCCAGGCACTGCCTAAGGACACTCAGAGCTCCACAAACCCGCAGTCATGCACCCACTTCACACTCTGGGAGATGAATCTCCTGTCATCTTTCTTCCCCTGAACAGCGAACCCAGTTGTTGTTGTTACTTTAAGTCGCAAATGCTGCCAAGCGATGGACGGTCGGAGCCCCCACTGACTGCAAGAAGTAGACGGAGTCATTGGTGATCCAACCCTCCGATCGGCCATCAGCCAACCAGTCAGAGTCATATTTACTCATAAGTGACATAGGCTCATATTCAGCACAAATCTCAAGGCTGATCAGTGGATATGATTATACAGTTGATTCTTGAACAGCATAGGTGTTAGGGGCACTGACCCCCATGCAGTCAAAAATCCATGTATAACATTAGACTCCCCCCAAAAACTTAACTACTAATATCCTGCTGTTCACCTTACTGAGAACACAAAGCATCGACTAACACATATTTTGTGTTATATTTATTATGTACTATATTCTTACGGTAAACTAGAGGATATGTCATTAAGAAAATCATAAGAGAAGGTACACTTACAGTACTTATTGAAAATATTCACGTAGAGGCGAACCAGCAGCTTAAGCCCATATTGTGAAATGGGTGACTGTACTTTGTGTAAAGAGAATATTAATAACTCTGTGGAATGATAGCAGAACCGCTTCTCTGACGATGCTTTGCACAGATTCAACCACGTATCCCAGGCTAACATCATGGAACTTGACTCGAAATCTGTCTCTGTATGATTTACCCAAAAGTCTCCAGATGTAGCCCACTGGCCAGGGGCACAGAGGGCAGAGGGAGAGATAAAGCTCAGGTCATTCAACAAAACATCTCACGAGTTAATGAATAAAAGCTTTTTTTAAAATGTTATTACACTGTTCTTATCTATTGGCTCTTTTTAGACCTCAAATCATTACATATGACTAAAAAATAATATGAGACATATAACCAGGACCATCACTCCAGAAAAATTCTTTGAGTCGTTTCTTTCCCTCCTAGCGCCTTATAAATCCATTCTCCAGACCAAGGATTTCATACGCCATGTCCTTTATATTACGCAATTGGAATCTGTTTATATTATTTTGGGCCACGTGGATGCCACATAGAGGAGTAAGACTGCCCTTCAGTGACTTTTTGCTCTGTAGTTAACAATCCTATCTCGCATATTGGAAACACGTCTAGAGGGGGCACTGCGAGCAGCCTTAGGCTGCGATTCGTGCCCTGGGAAACGCAGCCCACCGACTCAGCACCCGCATTGGCTCATTCGCTATTTGCCCGTGTGGGGTGGTTTTAATCGCCCTGAGCAGCTGTGAGGCAACCCAACTTCACATACCAAGAGCTCGTGCACAGTGGACAAGAGGGCCCGTTCCACGGAGAAAAGCACGCAGGTCAAAACTGGCCGTCTATTATTCTCAGAGTTCATTTTCAATGTAATGAAAATCTAGAAAGTTGTATTAAGGATTTAAATTTTACTACGCACTTGTAATAAATAATTATAAAGGCTTAAGCGAAAAATAAGGTATTATAATCAAAAGAGAACGTCTGCCATCTTAAAGTGGAACAGAGTGGGTGGAACAGGAGGCCCCATGCTACCTCCGGAGCAGTTTATGAAGCCCGTTTATGCCCGAAGGCGGAAGATTGGGCTGCCACCGTCCTCCAAAAGGGCCTGTGAAGGTCATCTTTAATAAACACACCTTCCTGCAGGAAGATGACAGCTTCTCTGAAACAAATCAGATCTATTAAACTATAAAACATTAGTTTTTAGAAGCAGAAAACATATCAGGAACGATGAAGGGAAAAATTTAGGAAGGGAAAGTGAATCTAAATATATTTATAATTCGATGCAAGTATCATCATAGTCTTCGCCGAAGACTTTGAAAAACAGGTTCATGGAACTGTGGAAAACTTTGATCCGTGGTGGGGGCAGGGATGAAACGCAGGGTGAAGGTAAGAAAATAAACGAATCGCTCACGTCACATCCTAAAGAGGGGAAGCTAGTAAGGGGGTGAATGTGAGCAAGTCGTTCAGGCTGTAAAATCAGGGCTCTGATTTATCAGAGCACTTCATCTTTATATGGATCTACCTGTGCAGATATGTGTGTGTCTTTACATATATTTATAAAAACGTGAGAGGATGTCTTCAGTATTGGTGTCTGAAGCTGAAATGGTGAGAGCGCCTCACGGTGTCACCTATTAATGCTCCACTCAGTTCCACGTGGAGATAGAGACATGACACGCACGATCTTCATCACGACCAACAGCTCAGGCTGACAGACAACCTAAAATAAGCACTGGAGTGAAATTGTTCAATTAACCCTAAGACAGAGGAAGCCAGACTCATAGAGCCTTGTCCTGGCTTCAGCCTAAGGAGTTATTTTGAAAATATGCAATGAAGATAAAATATTTTGAGCATTTAATAACACTCATCTGGAAACACATAGGGAAACCTGAATATCTAAGAAAATATAATCATAACCAAATGGCAGAAGAGAATATCAAGGTATTTTCCTGTACTTGACAGAAAAAAAAACAAAGCTAGTATGTTAATTATGTGAATAATATGATTATTAAATATAATTTGATCTTTGATTAGTTATTTTATGATATCTTTAATTATAAAATGCAATAAAATATTTAATAACCCAAATACCATTTTCCTAATAAGGCTATTTTCTTGTGAATTGCTTAGAGAGACGATTGTATAGGTCCCAAGGTTTCACCAGAGTATAATAATTGATAATAAATCGTTAAATAAACAAATAACCAAAGGCATCTACCCTAAAACGAGCACTAAATAAACTCTCATTTCAGCTTGGGCTGTGGGCCATGTCCAGCCAAAGGATTTGGGATGTCTTAGAGAAATTCTCCGTGCTCAGAAGGATTTGAAACAGTAGACTAGGAAACCTCCAGACCAGACAAACACTGTTAGTTCATTGTGGATAAATGGCACTGGCTCCGTCCAGCAACAGCATCAGCCCCCACGACTTGTGGTGACGTGAGCCTACGACAGTTACAAGCAGGCCGAGGCGAGGCGACGAAGCGAGGGAGAGCCCGAACCAAGGCGACCGCACTGCAGGACAGCCACGAAAAGAAGTCTCGAGACTGAAATCAAACTCAGCCAGACCTTAAAGTAAGGAATAAGCCTTGGCCCAAGGAAAACCCCCTGCTTAAATCACAGACCGAAAAGGACCCAGCAGAAATAACTAATCATATCGGATGCAGTTTCTAGAAGACATAATTAAAGATAAATAGAAAATTTCCAATGCTTTTACTATTAGACAAGTAATAATAAAAAGCAATTACAGAAAAGAACAATTTAGATAATATTCCTAGGTGATAATTCTAAGAAATACCGAAATAAAGAAAGCTAAGGAAATTTAATCCAGAAATTTACGTAGATGGCAGGAAAATAGTATTATTATGAATAACACAATGTTATCATTTTAAACAACTATTAATTCAAATTCCTACAGAGCTAATCAAGAAAACGAGATAAAATAAAAATACATGGCATGAGAAGGAAGAATGGAACGAATCGACGAAATAAGGTAACGTGACGTGAGGGAAAGTGCGCCAGTCCAGCCAACAGGGCAGCTTGGGCTACCGCTCAGGACTCCTCAATCCCTCCTCCTAATATCACCGCCCGCCCAATCCTTCGGCCGCACTGGTCGGCAGCACTTACCTCTCCGAAGTCTCAGTGTATTTCTCCACCCCAGGGGTGCTGATCTTGGGCAAATCACTTCTTTGGTCAACGAAGTGTTGTTACCTGAAACATTACAAACAGAGGCAATAAATACTCTTGAGGCAACAAAGACTCTTGCATGGCCTGACCAGGTCTTCCCCCTTCTGACTTTCACCCGGAAAAGAGGCCTCAGGGGTCACTGGTTGAATAAAAAAGATGAGGGGTCGCTGGAAGAAGGACCCGACGCGCAGCCGAAGGCCAGGGTAGCCGAGCAGCGCCAATGCCACCGCAGGAGAGGCCCACAGTGACACACACGCTTTCCCTTATGACCCACTGAGGGTGGAGCTAGTCTGTGCCCAACAGTTCTAAAGATAAAACTAATATAACTAATAATTTAAGAAAATACGCATTGGATAACCTACTGTTCTAGCTTTTCAAAGTCACGGATTATGATTTATTGGACACAGCTCTTGGAAGATCTCAGGAATTACCAGGAGAGCAGAGATCGGAGGAACGTGTCCTCACTCCAGTCTCAAGTTCTATTCGATCTTTAATTTACCATTAACTAAAGTAATTAAGACAGTGATATTGGCCCAGGAATAGACAAGGGAATCAATATAACAAAGAAGAGAGTAAAAACAACAGTGCAGTGATGGAAAAAATAAAATAAACAAAAAAACACATAGATAGTGCATACCTGGAACTTTATAAAGTGATGCACAGGAGATGGATAAGGACTGGAGGGACTAAATAGATAATGGGAAAGCCCATTATCCGTACAGAAAGGGAAGCGGGAAAACCGATCTCTGTCTCCCATAGGCACAGGATCCAAACCCAGACTAACGACTGAACAGTCTATGGGAGAGTTTCCTTACTTAGCAGGAAATACAGAAACAATCTCTTTCCGACACTGGTATAATATTTCTCAGACAAGGTACAGAAACAACAACAACAAAATAAGGGTCTTAACAGAAGACCCGCTGCTACATTTAACTACCTTAAAGGTGGGATTTTGTGGGGAGAAATAATAAACTACACCCGGAGAAAACACCTGTCGTGCACACGTCTGACGGGAGGCGGGGCTGTCAAGAATATAAACTGTACGTCGACAATTACGAAATCTTAAAACCCGGTGGGAGGTGGGAAAGACGTGAAAATCTCGGGCCGGAGTCCAGCCAGCATACAAAAACGCAGGCCTGCGTTCATCTCACGGCTCAGAGTCGTCTTTCTCCCGGCCGGCCCGGTGTCTGCACCGGTTGCTCAGTGTCTGGGCTTCTACCCCACGGACAGGCCTTTCACAGCAGCAGGTGCATTCGGCCAATAAATGTGAGAAAACGAATATGGAGCGAAACATAAACCACGGCTTCCAGGGGGCATTTCCCCCAGTGGTTTGGGAAAACATGAGCGCTGACCATACCCACGGTGGGGAGAACGGAAGCCAACGGGCCCTTCCCAGGCGGCGCATGTGAGTTCAGACCCACCGAACAACCTCGGGAAACCACTTGGAATTTTCTCGAAAAGCTGGAGCCCGCCGCCCTCCGCAGCCCCACCGCTCAGCCCGGGGAACGCGCCCAAGAGAAGAGCTCGGGGCCGGGCAGCAACAGTGCCGCCTCCCCCGCTGCGACGCGTCCCGGTCCCAGGAGCGTCCTCGAGCGTGTCTATGAAGGTGCCCGGCT